TCCCGGCGCCACCCCCCCCCCCAGCATCATGGACGTCATCCTGTCTGAGAAGATGGACCAGGCGCTGCTCAAGGTGGCCGTCACACTGCTGGCGCGCTGCGAGCGGCGGCTGGCGGGCTGCGAGGACCTGGAGGACGTCCTCACATTCCTCAAGCAGGAGATGACGGGTGCGTGACGTCACACCACGACACCCCACCTGGGGGGCGGGCGCGGAACCAGGGGCCCCCCGTTTCCACCCGAAATTCGTCCTTGGTGCCGGCAGTCCGTAGTGGTGGACATGAAATGTATTGATTTGAGTATGCTGTGTGGGGACGGCGTCTAGGAGTCCCGCTGGGTGGCTGCCTTTCTGGCCTCCTTGTGCGCGCCGAGGATCGGGGGTCTGAGCCGAGCGCACGGCCTGCTGGCGCCTCCCTGGGCGCACGGCGGGGCTGTTTGACCGGCTGTTGACCCATCCTGAGCGCCTCACAGCGCCGGCCGCTGTGTATTCCACACCGTCACGCCGCTTTGCCTCAAACCGCCGCCCCGCCCCGCAGCCTGGGACGAGCAGTCCCTGCACGACGTCCTGGGGGACGCGTTCGGCCAGCCCTGGACGCCGCGCCAGCAGGCGCTCCTCAGCAGCCTGGAGGGCGCAGAAACAGTGGCGGAGGCGCAGGAGCGCACCAGCAGGGCAAACCTGGCGGCGGCCGCCGCGGCGGTCGCCTCGGCGGCGGCGGGCGGGCCCGGGTGCGGCCTCGACGAGGCGTATGGGGACGGCGCTGCGGCCGCGGCCGCCGCGGCGGCCGCGATTGGCGCGCTGTCTGCGCCCGCGCCGACGCCGACCTCGGGGTCGGCGGCGGCGACGCCGCGCGGCAGCCAGGGCGGCGCGCTGCCGTTGCTGCCGCCGCCGAGCAGCCCCAGTGTCAGGTTCAGCAAGTCGGCCGGCAGCCTGCGCCAGCGCATCGCGAGCGCGCAGGCGCTCAGCAGCGGCGGCGGCGCGTCGGGCCCGCCGTCGCCGCTCCCGGCTGCGCCGCCCGCGCCTGTCGTGCCCGTAAATGGTGTGGGGCTCGAGGCCGCGGCGGCGGGGGCGGCGGCGGCGGCGGGGGCGGCGGCGGCGGCAGCACATCTCCATGACCTGCTTGGAGACTGGGTGCCATTTCAAGAGGCGCGGCAGGCCGCGCCCACACTAGCGGCCGGCACACAGCAACCGCCAACGATCGCGCAGCAGCCGTTGTCGCAGCCGCCGCCGCAGCAGCAGCAGCAGCAGCAGCAGCAGCAGCAGCGGGAGCAGCAGGAGCTAGATTGCCTAGTGGCACCGGTACCCTCTCATATTGAGTCCACACCTGCAGGCGGGGGCACACCAGGCCCCTCATTTGGGCAGCAGCAGCAGCAGCAGCAGCATGAGCAGCATGATGCCTGGTTTGACTTTGTCGCGTCGCCGCAGGTGCCCTCCACGCCGGCTGGTGGGCCAGCGAGCGCAGGTGTAGCAGGCAGCCTTGCCGACGATCCCTGGCAGCTGCTGGCCTCCACCCCCACAGCTTCCAGCGGCGGCGGCGCAGGTGGCAGTGGCGGTGGTGCCAACGGCGTGGGTCCCTCGCGCGCCACACACGACTGGCAGCAATTAGCAGCGGCGGGGGCAGCGGGACGCAGCAGCGCGGTCGCATCACCAACGCCACATCAGAATGCAGCAGCAGCGTTTGACCCCTTTGTTGGCAGCCCGCTGCTCGCAGCAGCGCCCAGCTTGACGAGCCTGCAGCTGGGAACCTCGTGCAGCTTGGGCGGTGGCGCCGCCGCGCGGGGCGCTGGTGGGTTGGAACATGACCCATTTGGCAGCTGGCAGCACTAGGTATCCAGGGCAGGAAAGCTGTGGCTAGTCAGCGAATCAAAACCAGCACCGTCATTCCTCCCAAACGCCGCCTTGAAAACTGTGTCTCTGTGATTCTTACGCCGCTCCCCGCCCTGCCGGATGGCCGGCCGCTGGCCCTTCGCCTTTGCTGTCGTTCGCATCAGGGTGTGTGGATTCAATGGCGGGCTCATACTTGCACCAACCTGGTTGGGCGTTTCATGACCAGCAGGTGTTCTCTGCACCTGCACCTTGCGATGCAGGCTTACAGCATTTTGCAGCTAAGCCAACAACTTTGTAACCGGACTTTCCTTGAGCCATTGGCAATCGAATGGGTGCCACTGGCTGTCAATGGACTGTGGTCTGCAGACGCGATGGGATCTGACACAAACCTGCTTTCCTGGGGTGCAGGCAAGTGAGAGCGGCTTGCGGCAGCAACAGAGACATGTATCAAGGGCCAGGTCGTGTCTCAAAGGCGCAGGGGGCGGATGGGCGCAGCACTGCAGAGGTTTTTGCACGGCAGGGGTGTATCGCCAACTGCGCCTGTACGCGGCAGAAAGCAGCACCTGCGCGCCTTCCCCGTCACACAACTCACACAACACCATCACTGAACGCTCTGCAAGCAACAGGAAGGATCCACTATCGAAAAGTGTGATGAGCCAGGGCTGAAGGGGTTTGGCCCATGTACTGCTGGAGCAGGTGTGGGGCCCTTCATGGCGGCGCGTGGCTGCTCAGTGTGTCGGCGCCCCAGCAGGCAGTACCACCAGCAGCAAACATGCACCGCCATCTGAGCTGCCAGCAAAAGCATTGCCTTGCTTGCAGCACCGGCTTTGATGGCCAGGGTCTTGGCTGCACCTCAAAACCCCGCACACAAATGCACAAGCAGCTCTGCCAGAGGGTTGGTGCAGACCCGCCTCAGAAGGCGGGTGTTGTGCGGAGGTGCCGCCTCGAACTAGCCGTTATCCCTACCAACGGGGGCCCTCGATAACCTGGCGTAACCCCAGGGTTACGCAGGGTTGCAGCGGGTTGCGCGCGCGGGGCGCGCGCGCGGTGGGGGGTGCGTGCCGCCGCAGTTGGAATGACATTTCATTAAATGCTTTGTTATGTGCACCCTGTCCGCACATGATGCAGCCGTTTGATGCGACCTCCGGTGCCGCCTGGGCGCCTACGCCCCGCACAGGGCAGCATATATGCACGCAATTTGCCTCTCAAAACTCCGCGGTAGCAGGGCCAAACCAAGCAGCAACACCTGCCTTGGAATTGCATCGCCCCTGGACGACAAGGTGTGAGGTACTGTAAGGCCACCCGCTGCAAAAACGTGCATGCAAACGTCTGCCCGCACCGGCGGGTTTTGGTACAAGTCGGGCAGAAGCTAGTCTGAGCGGACGTCGCGCAGCGCGCCACAGATACAAGCAGGTGGCGCATCGTGCACAGCCCAGAGCGCCAGAGGCGCGTGGCCGTTGCAGGGCGGCCTTGCTTGCGGACAAAGTGTTTGCAGGCGGCGCGTCTCGGGCCGCGCTGTTTGCAGGCTCTCTCGACCTCAAACGCCGATTTGCTTTGGCATAGGATAAGGATGCGTGAGGGTACTACGCAACCAAATGCACACCCTGAGGGGCCCAACACTATGCGTGACCAACCCCAACGTTCATGCAAGAGCGCGCGGCGACTGCGAGGGCTGTATCCAACGCCGGCACACGCGTGAACAGCCTTCATTGCGCCCAACAACGCATGCACCGCGTTACTGCTCTGCACGCAGCGGGCCGCCCTCTGAACTGCCGCCGCTGCCGCCCGCGCCTGCGCCCTAGCGCTGCAGCGCCGACTGTGCCAGCTCCTCCAGCTTCGCCTGCAGCTTCCTCAGGGCCTTGACCGCGTCATCAGCCGTCCTTGCCATGGTGACGTGCGTCCACCACTTCTGCACACACACACGCGCCATATCACAGAAATTACGTGCAGGCCAGAGGGTTGAGGGGCAGTCGGTGGTTGGCTGGGTCATGTCTGACATTGAAGCTACGCCCCACCACCGTGCAAGCTATATCCACAAAGGCCCTGGTTTCCCTGAGACAGCCCAACTGGCTGAGGGGCGCGCATGCCAGTGCCTGTCGATGCACTTTGGCGACTGCATGCGTGCACGCACACCGGGTTCATCCAGCACCCTTGTCACCTCTGCACCGCAC